GAGTGAATATATTATTTATGGCCTTACAAACAATGGAGCTAAACAAATTTTGTAAATCTTTTCATTGTAGCAATAAAACATATTTAGAAAAACATATATAATTTGTCCGGATTTTGGCGCTGCACCCTGTATATATATATACGCAGTTTTCCGCACAACATCCTGCGATCGGCTCGGATGACNGTATTATTTCTTAGTTTAATAATAACTGTTCCTATTATAAAATTTAACTACAATAAACTTTAGTTATCATTGAATATATATTTATATATTATGTGATTTTTAATAAATTCAAGTAAAATTCCGAATTAATTTTGTTTCTATAAAGCGTTTTTTTTTTATGTATCACCGTAATATTACTGCGATGCATTTCGGCCGTTATTCTATTACTGTAATGCAGTAATATTACGTGCTATGTGGGATGTTGATACTATTGTTCTTTAAATGTTGTATTTTATTTTCTTTTTAAATTTACAATAACGTCTTTACCATGTTATATTGATGAGACTTTTTTGATTATATTCACGTCTACTTGACGTACTATAATGACGTCAATAAGATGTGACATAATCACGTGATATGTACGTCAAAATCATGTCATTGTTATGTCATAATTGACGTTTTGCAGACTAAAAACTAACGTCATTATCACGTGAGCTTGCTTGCTGAGTGAAAAGAAACATAAAATCTATAACTTTATTTACCTAAGCTTTGGTAAAAAATTAAAATTTATAACCATAAAATAATTAAAATTTATAACTAAAAATCTATAAAATTTATAACCATATAAAAGCTATAAAATCTATTAAAATATATAACAAATGACTTCCATGAAAATAAGATCTTTAAAAAATTTTTATTTTTGATTAGTTTTAACTTTGAAAAGTTTTTTCAACTGTTATCTTTTTTGATCTCTTATAATTCTTGGATTCATTTGCTAATTGCTTCATAGCTTCTTGTATTTTCTTTTTTTTCTCCATTAATTTTTGTCTTTTTTAAAATTTTTTCTTGTTTTATTTTATTCTTTCTTTGTTGTTCTTTTCTTTCATACTGTGCAATAAAGTCGTTTTCTTTCTTTTCTTCTTCTAGTTTCTTCTATTTATGCCATTCTATGTATCTGATGTCATAACAGATGAAGAAGTTCTTTTACGTTTACCAACTGCTTTTTTATTAAATATATTTTCTGGATAAATAAAAACTTTATCAACTATTAATAATTTGCTTTTTTCCTCTGCATTAACATTTAGTGAGGAGTTTTCCTTCTCATTCTTATCTGTGAAATAATTGATATAGTTATGCAATTTATTAAAATATTAATTGAGAGTAAAGAAACGCTATCCAATTTACTCATAAAAAATTTCAAATTACTCATAGAATCATTAGAATAGAATTCAAATCCTGCATATTAGGTTGAATAATAAGTTATAGAGGTTGTGAATGATCTGTTTCAATCACTTGTTTACTAGGATTAAAAACCTGGAATCGTTTTTTAGCCATAATTTGTTTATCATAATCCTTGGACGTCCATTGCATCTTCAATATTTAACTCGTTTAAAGTAAGGCCTTTCGAGCTCAAATTAACAGAAGTATAAGTGTCAAAACTTGTTACAGGCAAGTCTATAATATTAAAATTTGTTATATTAAAATATTTGTTTTCTTTTTAAATAAAAAACTGAAAATATAATACAAACTTAGAATAAGCGAATCTTGACTGATTGAAGTTGATTATAAAACACTTTTCTGCTCTGAATCTGCAACTTGGAGTTGAGAAGAGGCTTGCGCTTCGCTATTTTCACTCTTTTTTATAGTATCTGTAAAGTAATCTTTAACTATTTCTTACTTATGTATTAAAATAAATACAAATAAATTAAATATAAATAAATTTGTATGTAAATATTTATAAATGATTTGCTTATACTTTGCAGATTAGATTCTATAAGTATTAAAGAAGATTTTATAAGAAAAAATTAACAGGCCTAAAATTAAATGAAATATCCGGAAAGAAAGACCTTACAGTCTGTGTGACCCACGGAAGGAGATGATTATAAAATAAGTAACGTACTTCTATTTTTTTGACGTTTTGATCATGTAATTTTTGATCATCTTTAGCTAAACACAAATAAGAAGTTACAAAGATAATTAAAGAAGATGTGAAATGCACAGTAATATAATATAATAAAGGTACGCACCTTATAACTCGAATCAACGTAACGGCTAACGTATGTCAACAAGAGAAGTCATTGAATACAGGGAAGCTGCGAGCAGCGACTCTGCACTATAGCCTCTGTGAGAAATTAATCAGAATACTTTTTTTATTTATTTAACAATGATATTGAATAAATTGAAATCAAGTCGAACAATTGAGTGCAGTCAATAAAAATTTAAATATTAGATATCAATGGTAAAAATTAAAATAGTCATAAGTAAATAGTAAAAATATAAAATATTAGGAATAAAATAAAGGACGAAAAATGTAGAAATATACAAATACTCACAATTAGCTGGAAGGTTAAATAAGCTATAAACCTCTCTTAAGTCGGCACACACCAACCGTCACAGTTATGTAAGAATACGAACATTCTCACGCAACAAACAAAATACAAGTGAGCAAAGTCAAATTATACAAGTCGATAGGCCACCGCAGAAAACAGTTTAGAGACGGAGGAGAGAAAAACATTCAATAAAGACAACCAAGGCAGCTAACTGAGTTTTAAAATCACAGGAGTGTATGCCGGATCCAGAAGATCTGTATCTTTCATTAGATTAATGCCGTTTTTTTGCATTTTAATGTGTAGCATTTGACAATCTCCTATGGTATTATTGTTCCGTGTCGAGGATTTCTATGTCATTTCATAGAAAGTCATGACCCGAGTCACTTCGGTGTCTACTAACAACTGATTGTCGCTCATAATTTTTATAGAAATCTCGTTGATGCTCACTTATTCTTGTGCGTAATTGTCTGCCTGTCTGGCCTACATATGAGGCATCGCAAAATGAACAATTGATTTTATAAATTAAATTGCTGTTTGTATATCGGTCAAGGTTGTCTTTATGTACTTTAATAATATTCTTTAAAGAATTTAAATTTCTATATGAAAGCTTAAAGTTCATTGTCTTCAAAGATCTGGAAATGCTGTTTGTAACTCCAGGTAAATAAGTTAGAGTAAAAAAATTTGTTGGAGTCTCTCCTCCACTCCAGTTCAGTTTAATTGAGTTCATCTCTCTATTCACGAAATTTAGCTTGTATTGAAATAAATAATGCAACCTTCTAGTAAAAACCTTAAAAATCAAGTCAATGGAAAAGTCATTAGCAGATAATATTTGTATTGCTTTAATTATATTTTCTTGATGGAAGGTAGGGTGCGAGAATAAAAGGGCCCTGTCTACAATTCCATAGACAACCCTTATTTTTTGCTTGAAAGAGTGGTGCGAAGAAAAGTTAAGATAACGACCCAAAAAGGTCGGTTTGTGGTACCAGGTAAAGAAAAGGATGTTATTGACCACCGAAATAGAAGAGTCAAAGAAATTAATCGATCTATTTTTTTCCATCTCAATAGTGAATTTCAATCAAGGATGGTACGAATTAAAAATTTGGAAGATAAGATCGACCTTCGAATTGTTCGACCTTCTCTTTCGGTGCTGCTCAGAGGATGTTATCTACATATCTGTAATAGATAGGGGAACATTTAGTTTCTGGAGACATGATTCCTTGAGATCTTGTAAAACAAGGTCAGCAATTATTGGTGACAGAAGTGATCGAGGTGCCAAAGGTTTGTTGATAAGTTCTCCCATTGAACGTGAAAAAGATAGAAGACAAAACAAGATCTAACACTCGAATAAAAGGTTCAAGAGGAATCTTTGTATGATCTTTAATGTAATCCCACCTCTTTTTCACCCTTTCTAAGGCCAAATCTAACGGAACGTTCGTGAACAGCTAGATTTTAGTTGTTTTAAGTTAGATTTATTTAAACAGTTAAGAAAGTAGAATTTTTATTGGACATATGATTGTTTGCACTTTTAAAAGAATCTTCTTGGTAAAGAGATTCTGTAAATTCTACTTAAAAAATAATAAGAAAATTTTAGAAGGCAATAATAAGATTATAATAAAAAGAAAACAAATTTTAAGTAATTAACTATTTAGTACATTTGCATTTTGTGTCAAAGAAGCATCTATTTCTTCAGTAAGAGGAATTTCAATATTTGTAATCGATCATCAATAAAGCCATTATCACTTTGTGATAACTTAAGATTAATGAATTTGCTTTCATTTATGCTATTTTCTGCACAATAACTCTCTTTCTGCACAATAATCAATCCAATCTATAATTTTTGTTCTTCAGATGTCGACAAAATTAATGCAGGACCTTTTTTGGCATTCACAAGATAGATGTTTTGTATTTTAGAATATAATGTGGTTCTTGGTACATGATATTTTTCGGCAGCTTTTTTGTAAGTCATATCTTTACCAATACTTTTTAAGACTTTTTTCACATCTTCTTGTGAATATGATGATTGTTTTTTCTTTTCTCTTTCGGCATCTAGATAAGGTAAACGTACCTATCGTGGAACATGTCCAATTTTGGAACAGTTTTATAAAAAGTAATGTTTAAAAATAAATCTAGTCTACATAAAGAAAGGAAAAACTTGTATTAAATATGGGCAATCTTTAACTTTATAATTATGTAAAATGTATTAGATACTCCCATTAAATATTTATGACAAAAAAAAGTTTTCAAGATGCTCGTCTTTGGACTCATAAAAATTGACTGTTAAGTGTAATCGAAAGCCGATATCCACAATTCGGTTTCTTTAAATACATTTATAAATGTAAATAATTTTAAACTTTTTGTTCTTATCAAATTATAATTATAGCATTGTAGATTTNAATTTTTATTAATTTTTCTACGTTTGATACAGTTATATTTAATAAAATAGATGTTCCATTTTAGGTACAATTATTTTTTGTAATGCCGTAATATGGAACAGAAAAATGCGGGTGTTCCAAGTTCCGGTCGATCTTATGTGTCCATGTCTGTTTAATGGAACACGTACGCATCGATTGCACAAAGAAGTTTTTTGTTGTAATTTGGAAGGTAAAATACAGTTNCTTGCACATTACGATAAACTGAGCATACACTGTATGAATTTTTTGTCATACAAAGAAGTAAGTAAATTTTTATTCCAAAGTTGTTTAAAAAGTAAAACCTAACCTAAAACCATATAACAATTATACAAAATATACATATAAAAATATATAAATATACATTTACCATTTATAAAAAATTAAAAGAAAATTTAAATAAATTTAATTATTAATTTTTGGTACTGCAGGCGTAAAATTTCAGTGTAAAANGGGAAAATTAAAGAAAAACAGAGTAAAAAAAGATTTGCAGAGTGATGAAAAAGTTGCAAGAAATAGTAACAAAAAAGTAAAAACTGATGGAAAAAAAATTAAGAAAACCGAAAAAAGAAAACAGTATTCGCCTGAAGCACTTCAACGTGCTCTGAAAGCAATTAGTGCAGGTATTTCTATTAGAAAAGCTGCTGATAATTTTGGAGTTCCTGCAACGACGCTTTTTAGAAAAAACAAAAATCCGGATAAAATTGATTGTACAATTGGGCCACCTACAGTTTTATCAAAAAATGAAGAACAAGATATTGTCGATTGGCTTACATACAGAGCTGAAAGAGGCTTTCCAATAACTAAAACAGAGTTGTTGGATAGCATACAATCATATATAGTAAGTTTAGGGAAAAAGACTCCATTCACAGAAAACAGACCTGGTCGCCATTGGTGTGAAGGGTTTTTTAGACGCCACCGTAACCTGACAATTAGAACAAGTCAACATCTAACACTTGTGCGGGCTTCAGTTACTGAACAGGACTTAAGAGGATGGTTTAGTGAAGTTAAAAAATATCTGGAAAGCAAAACTCTGCTCAACATTCATTCATCTAGAGTATTCAATTGCGACGAGACAAATATTCAATTGTGCCCAAAATCTGATAAGGTTCTTGTGAAAAAAGGTGCACGGTCCGTATACAAAATAGTCGACGCGAATGAAAAAGAAAGTGTTACATCATTATTTATGTATAATGCGGAAGGAACGCGAGCACCACCATTAGTCATATATCCTTATAAAGAAAGCGTACCAAAGAAAATCCTTGACAATTTTCCAGGTGGCTGGGGCATTGGAATTTCTGAGACAGGGTGGATGACAAAAGAAACTTTCTACGAGTATATTGCTAATGTTTTTTACCAGTGGTTATTGAAAGAAAATATAAAATTTCCAATTATTATTTATTTAGATGGTCATTCTTCACATGTGACCATTCCATTAGTTTCCTTCTGCAGAGAAAAAAAAATTGAATTGATTTCACTTTATCCTAATGCCACACATTTGATTCAACCACTCGATGTAGCACTTTTTCATCCTTTTAAAGATATTTGGAGAAAAACTGTTCCAAAGTGGAAAATACAAAACAATATTATGCGACTAAGAAAAGAACAGTTTCCTGCAGTCTTAAATATAGCATTGGACTCTCTTAAAGAAGAAAGAAAAATTGTACAAAATGNGTTTAGATCATGTGGACTAATGCCGTTTAATCCTGATGCTGTGGAGTATAATATTCTACATAAGAAAAAAAAGAAAACTGACTCAAGAGTAGATGAATTGCAAGACAAGCATTTGATAGAAAATCAATCATCTGTTTTAAATGTTGACTCAATCGAAGATAAGAAATATTATTTTGAAATGTTTGAAAAAACCTTAGCACCTCAATTAGTGCAAGATTTCAGAAATGCTGAGACAAATAAAGAAT